CCCCCCCCCCTGATCCTTCAGCCTCCTCATCCTCCTTCACCCCTGCTAGCTTATCTCACCTTGTTGCATCCCTTACCACGGAGGCGCCATCGGTACCTATTCCCATACCGACTCCCTCCACCCCTGTTTCAGATGCTGCTGCTACCGAGGAGTTTGACAACCTCCTATCATCTTTGCAGCCTAGCGTTGCGGCCCTCCTTCGCGAGTATCGAGATGTTTTCCCTCCATCTGTCTCCTATAGCAGCATCCCTCCTATGCGCGATATCGACCACCACATCCGGCTCGAAACTAACTACCGTATTCAGCATCGCGCCCCATATCGCCTCTCAGTCCCTGAAGCCCAGGAACTTAAACGCCCAATTGCCGAGCTGCTTCGTCAGGGCTTCATTGGAGTGCACTTGTCCTCTTCGATCGCAAGAAGGACGACACCCTCCGCCTCTGCCTCCACCAGCGAGGTCTCAACGAGTATACGGTCAGAAACAGTTATCCTATGCCCCGCGCGGATGATCTGTTCGATCGCCTCTCCGGCCACCACTTTTTCACGAAGATCGATCTTCGTAGCGGATATCACCAGATCCGCGTAGCCGAGGAGGACCAACCTAAGACCGCTTTCCGTTCTCGTTTTGGGCACTACGAGTTTACTGTCGCGCCTTTCGGTCTCCGTAATGCTCCAGCCACCTTCCAGACGGCTATGAACACAATGTTCCAAGACCTTCTTGAGGGCTCGGTTCTAGTCTATATTGACGACATGCTGGTCTACAATCATACCTTAAAGGAGCATCTGTTCCACCTTCACACTCTCCTCCAGCGATTACGCGACCATGGGTTCTATGCGAAGCTCTCCAAATGCTGCTTCGCTCAACCCGTGGACATCTACCCTTTCATTGGACCCCGACTCACGAGGATGCCTTCCGCTCCCTCAAGCGGCTTCTCACGTCAAACCCCATTTTACACCTCCCTGACTTCTCTCATCCATTCATTGTCACCACGGACGCTTCAGACTTTGCTATTGGAGCTGTCCTATCTCAAATCTACTCAGCCCCTTCTACTCCACCCGATTCCACGGAGTCTCGACTCCCTCGCGTTCCCCGATTGCCTCCTCCACCTCCAGCGACTGCGGCTCACCTCGCACCCATTGAGCCTACTCCTTCAGGAGCCCCCCCGCCATATATTCCTGACGTCGTTGGACGGTACAGTTGCGTCTCGCGATGGAGAGTGTCTGGTTGCTTATCTCTCTCGACAGCTACTTCCCGCGGAGCGTAACTATACTGTTGAGAGCGTGAGGTTCTCGCGCTGGTTTACGCCGTTAAGAAGTGGTGTCATCGTCTACACGGTCATACCTTCACCGTGCTCACAGACAACTATGTCCTCGCCGCCTTTCAGACGAGGCCTAAACTCACTTCTCGTCAGGCTCGTTGGTGGCGTGATGTTTCCGAGTTCGACTTCACGATCAAGAAGATCTCCGGTGAGAGCAACCGTGTCGCAGATGCCCTGACCTCAAGTGCGATGATCTGCAGCTCTCTACTCTTTCTGTCTCTACTCCCATTATCCATCCCGCTTTCCTAGATGAGTACCATCGTGCTTACCCCCAGTGTTCTGAGTTTCAGTCCATCTACACTGACTTACAGGCTGGCAAAACCATCCCTAACTTCCAGCTCGACCCCTTTGGACTCTTGTACTGGCTTGGACTCAATCATCCTCGTATAATGTGTGCCTTCTACCGGCCAGCTCCGTGTTCGGACAGTCGTTGAGAGTCATGATCAGCGTGTTGCTGGTCATTTCGATGTCTACAAGACTCTTGACCACCACTACTTGGTTCCGCCTGTTGTTGCAGTTGATTCCTCTCGACCTTAGCGTACCCATCGACTTCCCTCTCGTTATCGTGACTGATCTATCTTTTACCATTCTTGGACACCTATGCAGCAGCTCTCGGTTTCGACTTCTACATTCGGCTTCTACATTCAGATTCTACATTCGGCTTCTACGTTCGACTTTCGACCTCGGTGCTTCTCTTCAGTACTAGAGTACTTGTCGCAGTGTTCCGGGCTTCGACTTGGTTTCTGCGCTACTACTTCATCTTGGCTACTTCGACTCGACTTCAATATGGAGACTCATCAGTTGGACTACTTCACTTTTTCGCCCACAGAGTTTCCACCATTCCCATCTATCGACCATCCTCGAGTTTATCCTTCAATCGCATGATGACCCCTGTTTTCCCAGACCATGTGGGTGTGTTCCTCTGCCGCCCTTCTGCCTTACCCTAGGCTGCGCGCCCTCCTCCGGAGTGTACGTTTTTCTTTGCTCGCAGCCCTTGGCCATATGTCTATGCCCACATAGCCCCCCCTATCCTTCCAGGCTCGCTTGTGTGGCCCCTTGGGTGAGTGCCCTTTTCCTTTCAGTTGGCGGTGCCCGTTTGATGGTTTCCACTGAGCCTGGTGTTATTCTCCCTCTGAGCCTGATGATGTTTCATATGGTTGTGTGGGTACCCCCTTGGAGTTTACTCTGAGAGCTGTACTTGCCGCCCTCCCACCCATCCCTACCTTTCCCATGCGACTGAGCTCCCTCCCTTCTATTCGGATATTGTGTACTTGTGCGGGGCACGTGAGACTGTGCCACATTCTTTTTCAGTGTGGATATTGATCTAGTTACTCTTTAGCCTCAAGGGCTCAAATGTTGACTTATACTCGGCCACATTGGCTTAGGAGACATTTTCCTCTTTCTTGGCCGATACAAGTCAGACATTTCTCTCTTTGTTGGCCGACACAGGCCAAACATTTTTTTCTGCTTTTTGGGTCAACTCAGACCAGACATTGTTGTATAGATTAGGCTTGAGGCTTAGTCTTCAGTGCATCTCTTTCCTGCACGGAGCTTGCTCCGCATTTAGGATTGTTTCTTTGTCATTCCTCTGGGTTTCCGCTATTTCAGCGGGTAGCGTGTTGATGTATCGCTTGATCCATTTACAGGTCCGAGGATCATTTAGCGGTACCCTTCCGGCCCGGCAGTGGGGCCGGACCTGTTTCAGGCCGCCGGCCTGACCCCGGTCCGGTACCGGGTTACTCCGGCCTGGACCAAGGTCAGTACATCCTTCCGGCCTAGGCCCAGGTCGGGTTGGTAACTCATTCAATTGTTCTTTCTTTCATTGAGTGGACTGGAGATTCACTCAGCTGCTGCTTCTCGTGTGTGTCCATCTCCTCTCTCTCTCTCTCTCTCTCACCATCTCCACACGTGCCATCCGCACGTGCGTCACACTTCAGGTCAAAGGGTCTCGTAGCACCATGTCATCGGTAATTGCTCCCTTTTTGGTTCCGGATCAAGGAACACCATGCGACGATGTAACCCTCACTTCCACACTTCATGCACTGACCCTGCCATATCTATTGGGAAATGCCCATTTTCTCCCAAGGTTTCCCAATAGTTATGCTAGGACGAGGAAGGAAACAGTGTAGCCTCCTCTTTGCTCCTCCATTGTTAGTGCCTCCCTTAAAGGTCACTCCATAACATCTCCCTTCATTGATTCATTTTTGTTTTGCTCCTCCTCGCTTCCCTTGTGGGGCAACCTCTCTCTGGTTTCATTATCGAAAATGACGAGGAGGTGATCCCGTTATTTTTGCCTCCAAAGAATAGGTTTCCCGTTCCACCCTGATGGCCTCCATTAACCATACAAATATACATATCTTACACCTACAAAGTTATTTTCCGCTTTAGAAGGCAAGGTTCCTAAGCTGTCGATAGGTGTGCTTACCAGACTTTGACTCGGTGGCCAAGCTAACCTCTAATTGGTTAAGTTAGTGCCTGAGAGTAGATGTAAAGTATCTTGTTATTGTGGATGTTCAATCCAGGTGCTTGTAACAGTTTGCCCATCTCCCGTGGCAACGCGTGAACGGAGCTACCCTATGGTATTTGGTTCGTCAAAGGCCTTATCAGAGATCATCTTGTCCAAAGTTAAATATTCTTGCAATGTTTGCATCCTTGCCCACTCCCCAATCTAATCATAACCTGCAGCGCCTGCCTCAGACAATACCTATGCCTTGGCGCCTTCACCAAGACATGACATTATGAAGCAACCTAGCTGTCTTTCTCTACCAAACAGTGGAACAAAAAGTTTGAATTTCAACTATCCACAATAGCAGGTTTTCACCTTTCTTACCAGTGTGCATGAAGGGCATCTTCATTTTTCCCTTTTCTTTCTTGTTCAAACTTTCAG